AACCAGTGCAAAACAGGGAATGGGTTTTGTTTGGAGTGGAGAGAATGGTGGGACAGGAAGCTGGTTTTGAGGAATGGCTATCTGCTAGCAATTGCCTTAAGTTTAGTATTTGACACAACTCAGTTGAGAATAAAGAACAGAAGGCAAAGGAGAAAAGCAAAGACAATGAAGGAGCTAGATTCAGTAAAAAAAAAGAAAGAGAAAGAAAAATGAAAAAAACCCGCTCATACTCCCTCAATTTCCTGTTTTCACTAAAAACATGGATTGTTTCCTTCTGTGTCATACTGGTGACAGATTGTGCAAAATGTATGTGGAGAGCTGGCTGGAACATAGCTCACAGCCTGCCAAGGACCAAATGTGTAACAATTTCAAAATGACAGCAACACAGCTATTAAATATTTGATTAGGAAATCTTTTAAGTCATAGATTTTAAACCTTCTTTTAAAGCAGGGGAAGTATTTTAGATTAATTTTACTCATAGAGAAGCATAAACAGATAAAAAATTTGTTTATCCAAGGAGTTACAGGTTGTTACAGGCCAGAACTTAGAACAGAACTCTCTTTTATGAAGTATTCAATGCTTGTGATTAAACTGTCTGCAAATTATGTTTTTTTTTCTTTGTAACACAGTTGTGTAATTTCTTCATTTCAGTCTTGGAAGGAACGTAAAGTCCTTCATAGGAGAGTATTTGGTAACCTAATAAAATCATCCTCATCAGTGCTGTTTGATCTGCACTGCCATGTTAGTGCTTACTTACTCAGCTTGTTTCTAAGATGGCATTCACATCAGGTTGTAGCAAATACATCCTCTGAATGCAGGAGGAACTGGAGTGGGTTATGTTCTACAAACTCCTGCTGTTTTCATTGGGCTCAGCTACCTAATTAAAGCTGAAGTCAACTTCCCCGTGTTGAGATTCAGGATGAAATCCGCCACATGCAAGGATGATGAGCCTACGCAGCATGGAAAATTAAAGACAAAACAGTCAAAGCCACTGAAAGAAAGGCAAGGCCACCCAGCAATGCTTATGAAAGGCACACTCTCAGTTACTATGTATGAGCTGCGTAGTGTTAGAACATAATCTACTAGCATACATTTCTGACTGGGAGAACCAGTTCCCATTATGCTTTTGTCAGCTCAGAGAATGAGAAAGATGTGATGTGAGCATTGGTCTGGGTGGTGGAACTCATGAATTCTAATCCTGGTAATGACGAAAGATCACTGTGTGGGCAAGCCACTTAACCCCCCTTTGGTTCTCTTGTTTTAAAAGTGAAATGAGTGTTTCCCACTCAGGAATGTGGAAAAAGATTAATTAATGTTTGAAAAGCCAGTTTTGTAGTGGGAAGAGTTATTTAAGAGCTATGTGTTCGTTAATGATCACCCTTTTATAGAAACCGCTTCTTAGAGTGGTGATATGGTAGGTTAATAAAATGTGCTCTATCTGAAAAATAAGAGGTAAAGAATTTGCGAAGATTCCAATCTGTTGGAGAAACCATGAGGCTCAGACTTAGCCTTTATTTTAGGTTTCAAACTATCACCGAAGCCAATGACTCCTTTACCTGACTAATATCATGATAACCTTTTTCCCCTACAGAAGTCTAATCTGTCTGGGGAATAGGAAATCCCTGTAGTTTTGACTCATGTTTTAGAATCTTTCCATGACAGAACATGAATTTGAAAGGAGAAAAAGTCTAGACATCCAGAAAAAAAGGCTGCTGGAAGCTGCAAATCTTTGGTCCTACAAAGGATCTTCTGAAACTGTGTAAACAGAACTCCTTTGCCTCAGTGTTGGTTATAAATTCCTCCAAATTCCTTTTTAGCTATGAACGTCTCAGCTTTCTGCTACACTTGAAAGCTATCTCAAAGAATACTGCCAGTGAGAAAGGCCCAGCTGCAGAATTACTACAGCCTATTATTACAACCTTATATTGATTCTTGCTGATTTTTGCTGTTGGGTTTTTTTTTATATATATATATATATATATATATATATATATATATATATATGTTTTATTTTATTATTATTATTTTTTTTGCTTGAGAAGGGAAAATCTGAAAACCCATCTGATTTCCTATACTATCCTATACCATCTTAAGCTCTTGACTGAAATCCCTATAGGATCATGTTGGGAATGGAGATAAGGCCACAGCCTTGGGAGTTTCTTCAGGGAATGCAAGTTTCCTTCTGTGCGTTGAGGGAGAAAGCTGTATGAGACCTTTATTAAAGGATGCTTTGCTTTTGCAAGATAACACCTTATCTTGCTAGAATCACTGGGGTTAGAATCATTAACTATCTTTTCATGTAGGCCTAAATGGAATGAAGCTTGGTAGAATTTTTAGAAATATTTAAATATTTTTTATTCAAAATTAAAAAAAAAAAAGCCAACATTGAAAATGGGCTACTGGACTGGGTTTTAGATGTCTGTTTTTACAGCTAGATTAGTAGTAATGCAGGATCAAGCAGAGTAAGAACAAGGTATAACTGGATCGTTTATATCACGTAGCTATTGATTCCAGGTGCCTCTCCTTTGTTAGTACAGTACTGATCATCTGTCTGTGCTCTGAGTAGAAGTTAAACAGGGAAGGTTTTGAGCAGTACTAGTAATTCATAGCAAAAATATGATTTTTAACTTCTATCTTCAAACACACAAATAAGGCGGTTAGAGCAGGATACTTAGTGAAATGCTTCAATAATCTGCTAGGAATGTTAATCTCTCTCTCCATTCTAATAAATGCTATTCCAGTTGCTTAATTAGATGGAGTTATCCTTCTGTAATAATTTAAACAGTGAGAATTTTGTAGCTGTCTTTGGTTTGATGGTAACTTCTGAGTTACACTTTTCCAAATATTCGAAAAGTGGAGGCTAAGTTGCACAGAACTGTGGGCTTCTGGTTGTTTTACTCCTTGTCAGTAGCTGTTTCCCTGCTTGTCCTTTATTCTGTAAGCCTTCGGATGAGCAGTAGGTAATTCTGCTCTCCAGAATGGAGTAGGAAAATACTGAGGGACATGGTTTAGTGGGAAATTTTAGTGCTAGGTAGATGGTTGGACTTGGATGTTGTTAGAGGTCTTTTCCAACTTTGGTAATTCTATGATTCTGTGACTGCTACTAGAAGAAGGGAGACCAAACTTGTGTTTTGACGACAGCATGCACTGAATACCAACCTAGTTGTTCAAAAAATCAATTGTTCAAAAAATTGTTCAAAAAACAGTTAGGTTTACAGCACAGATGAGGGTAGATGCTTGAAAGAATGTATGAACATATGCATCTGGGCATTTTAATCCTTCCCAGTTTCTCTTCTGCAGGAAATTTCATTTCTAAATCAAGGGAATTCAAAGACTTAAAACCCCTCTGCTCAGGATGCTTTGCATTTGGAAAAAAAACCCTCTTTCTGTTGGAATAACTACATGATCACCATCTTGCAGAATGGAGAAAACTGGAATAAAAGTATCTAATCTTTTAGATCAGTCATTTTATTCGTATCATGGGGTTGTATCACATGTTTATAATAAAGCCAAGTATTTTCCCTAAGGAAACAATAATAACAATAAGTTAGAAAAGACAGAGAATTAAATCTGTTATGGTAGGCTTTGATTTACAAATTTCTGTCCTTTGTTCTACACTGTGGAACATCAACTGGCTTTTTGTGAGCAGCAGCAGAAAAGTAAAATAATGGAGGTTTTACTTAGGTGTTAATTATTGCAGTGAGTCTTTTTATGATTTTTTTTCTTGTTTGTTTGCTTCTTTTTAGTGTTTAATGACATTGATGTAATTACTCAGTTGTCTATGGAATGGGAAGTACCTGTATGCATTGCAGGATTCATTTCAGGTATCAAGTTGAGTGACGATTTTAGGTCTGGATGGTGACTTCCCTTGGAGATCTTTTGAAGAGGCATAACATAAAGACAGAGAATTAGAGGTTGAGTTCTGTTTTATCTTCTGGCACACCTTCCTAGCATGCTACGTGGGTAGAGTACTGGACACAACACTTATTCCTGAGTGAAATCCTTCAGACTGCTGAAGCTGTACAGTGACTGAATACGTAACTAGCAGGAAAAAAATGCAGGAAGGCCACTAAGCTTCTGCCTTTGTTTACTAGTCTTCTGAAGTGGCAATATGAAATACAATTTGATAGATAAAATATCTGCATAAAAGAAAATGGACATTCAGAGAATGCTTTGAAGATAAAAAGAGAGAACTTTTAGAAATGGTAACACAAATTAAAATCTTTACAGAAGCTCGATTTGTATATAATGAATTTTATGATGAAATTTGCCCTTGCATTGAGCTTATACACTCTGTAGACCTTTCATCAGCCTGAATTGTTTATTCTTGTTCTTAATGCCTGTTGACTTAGTCTTAAAACAAACAAAAATTCAGAAGGAGGATTCCACGTCACATTTTATGCTATTCATTAGGATTCTGAATGTGAAGTTAACCTGGATGGGAAAGAATCACTACTATTCTTCAAGGAAGAAACTGTGGATGACTTCCATCTCCTTGTCTTGACTGGGAATTATGAACAAAGCTATTTATTGCTTTTTAAAATAAAGCCTTTTGTAATTTTGTTTTCTTTTCCTAGGGATCAATAATCAAGAAAATAATGTCCTTTCTTCTTGGTCCAGTTCCCCTTGCTGTGCATTGTTTAGCATCAACATCAGAGCTGGGGCATTTCATTTAATTTTATGTGCAATCTTGTTAGCAATCTCAGCAGAGAGGATTAGGACTGTATGAGCTGCAGAGACTGGATGTTCATTTGTTTAGGCCAGCAGGAAGGGTTGCTGGCAGCATGGGAGGTGTGCTTATCTGGGGATGCGGGGCAGCTGAGCTGGTGTCTGTCACCTTTTACTGACACCCACTGGGAGTATTTCAGGCAGGAACATGGAATGTGTGATGCTACTGCCAGGGGAGGAGGGGGTGCTGTTTGAAGAATGCTGTCATTGTTTCAGGTTGTCCTGATGTTTCCATTCTCTCTTCTCCTCCCTCCTGTTGCCTTTCCTCCAAGTCTGTGGCAAGCGTTACAAGAACAGGCCTGGACTGAGTTACCACTATGCTCATACTCATCTTGCCAGTGAAGAGGGTGATGAAGCCCGGGAGCAGGAGACCCGCTCTTCTCCTGTCCACAGAAATGAAAACCACAAACGTGAGTAGTATTTTCCCTTTACCTTTGAGATCCTTTTTGGAGATGTTGCCTTCAGCTGTTCTTTGCTTTGTGGAGGCTGGCTTGATTGCCTGGCTCCGTTGTGAGTGATTGGTACCTGGATGCTTGGAGCTAATCAGCCGCAGCTCACACCAGTGCTGGCTCAGCTAGTCAGGAATTCATTTCAAACCCAGCATTATCTCTGCAGCAAGTCACTTTTCCATTACTGCTCCTGTGGGGAGGAGGTGTCAGGGAGGGGGGGGGGGGGGGGGAGAAGAAGAGCTGCCCAACCCACCCTTTGTCAAGCAACCTCCCAGTGGCTGTTAGTAGGGATGTCAAGGAAGTGCACATTCCGTTTCAGGGGGCTGTCATTGTTTTGCCTTTGAGTAAGACACCTTTATCCCTGCCTTGGATTTTTTTATATGAAATTCACAGCTTCTGTTCTCCTTATCCCTGCATTGCTTCCTCAAAAGCCTCACACTCAACTTTACCAAAAGATGCTTCTTAGTTACAGTTCTGGAAGATCTATGAAAAAATACCAGTTCTCCTCTGCAAGGAGTGCTAGAATGTGAGATGAGTCACATGCCTAGATTTCTGACACCAGTGCAAGTCTGAAAGAAAAGTAATGCCTGAATGGACATATTTGTCTATCCTTCCTGTGTTTCTTAGGCACAGAACAGGAGATTAAGGAGACTATGCTATGTACTAATTTTTCATAAGACTGGCAAGTCTCTAAGCTGCTGTTTCTCAGATTTCCAGTGTGTAGTACTATGGGATAGTTACTTTTACCTTGGGATTTGTGAACTTAGTTTTGTTCACTTTTGAGACATTCTTTTAAATCACATTGTGAACTGTGTCATCTTAGTTCAGAGTAATGAACAATGCAAACAAAGCTATAAAATGCTTATGGGAAGAAATATCCAGCAAACATGTTATAATGTGTTATGAAGAAGTGGAAGACTTATGGAAGTAGGAAAACATTTTTTTTCAAGTCAGATAATTGATAATTGTCCCCAGGGATGGAGGGGAGGGGGTTTCCGTCCTCCAAAGCATCTGCTGCTAGCCACTGTGTGAGCTTGAAGGGCCACTCCCATTCGACAATCTCAGTATTTCTGTCACTTTTATGCCCTGCTTTTCAGTTATTCATGTGTTTGGTAGGTTCATAGTAAAGGTAATTTTGACTCTTCCAGCTCTTGACAGACTTGAGCTAGCTGTGCACTAAGAGCAGCTTAGGCAGGCTGGAGACTGTCAGTGTTCTGCCAGTAGCTTTTGTTTACTTAACATTTACATTATCTCTGAGTTTTGTAATTGTTGGCTTTTTTATTTTTTTATTTTTTTTAATGCCTGCAATATTTAGTTATAGCTATATACCTGAGAGGCATATCACAAGTCTCTATTGAGTTAATATTCATAATGGCTTTGCACAGATGCTCAGACAAAGAAGGGTAGTGTGTTTTACCCTTCAGCTTGTCACAGAGGTCAAGGACAGTTGCAGTCCTTATCCTTCTGGTACTTAAGAATTTGTTACAGTTAGCAGAAAGCGGAGCTAGAAAAGCTGTGGGAAGGTTAGCATCAGAGGACTTAGCCCATGGAAAAAAAGATTTGTTCTGCTGCATAGGATGGGGTAGAATAGGAACTACTCAGGCTTGTGTTCCCCCCGAGCTTCTGTGTAATGCATGTGCAGCAGAGGCAATCTGCTAAAGCACAAATCCCAAAACAGGCAGAAGTACAAAACCAGTGGGGTAAAATCCTCTGACATCCAGATTCCCAAACAGAAAGAATCTGGTTAACAACCAGACAGGAGCCAGTGAGGTACAGGCAACAGCTATGCGAATGTAAAGATCACCCTTGGGGAAAGTCCCAGATGCTGGAAGGTAACTCTCCCAAATGGTTTAGCTGTCGCAGTCGCTGTTTGTTCCTTTTTGCCTGTTTATTTGTTTACAGCCTTGAGCTCAGATCTTGCATCTTTGCTCTTTCACTTGGTGATATTTAATTTATGCTGCCATTTATCTTCCATGTGAATGCTAATTGTCCACATTGCTAATGTGCAGTCATTAAATGGTCCCTTTGTACAGGAGGATGGTGAGGAGCCAGAGTATCAGATCTTTCCTCTCCTCTAAGAACTGCTAGGCATGTGTTATGAATTAGATTTGACAGGTTTGCAGTATTGCAGGGTTTGGGCTTCAAGAATCCTCTCTGCATGGGCTTGGGGGAAAAGGGAGGGAGGAGGGGGGGATTTTAATCCAAACAGCTAATCCGCAACCTACTGAACAGGAGGACCAGAGATATGGTATAGAGCAGGATCTGGTTATTTGCTTAGCAGTGTGTCAGAGAGATAGGAGCAGCCTGATTTAGCAATGGCAAGGCAAATTGAAACCAGCCATTTGGAATTTGTCACACTGTGGGAGGTGAGCATTGGGTCAGTGAAGTTCAGGCAGGCAGGCATTTGCAGCGTGAACTTCCTTTGTACCTAAGTGTCTGCAGTAGCTTCTACAGTCTCTGCTCCTTGCAGTACCTGCAGTAATGGCAGCTTTGCTTATGCAAGAATGGTGTTTCTGGAGCTCAGTTCCTACAAGATTCAGTTACTGATGCCCTGGCTAGAGCCAGCTCAAGACCTGATGGCTTCTTGCACACCCGAACCCGTTCATCTTTACTCTTCTCCTCCTGCATACACCAATTTGGATAGTTAGGTAAATTATCCAGGGACTGGAAAGGAGATTTAGATAGGAACAACCTATCTGGAAATGAAAGCTACTGAAGAGATGTGTATTAAAGAAGAGGACTGACCCAAACCCCAAGTCTCACTTCTCTGGGATGTCTCACTGTCCTTGGGAGGTGCAGAAGGTTTATTTACAACTCAGATGTCTTCCTTTCTGTAGATGATCCTTTGCATCAGGAAAGACAGTTCAACAGTATTCTCTTGCTTTTGCCTTTCCTAAAACACCTTGGCCTGAGCTTTGTTTGAGCTTTAGCTGCTTTGTTTGTACGTCTTATCTAGCCCTTTGACACAGATAGAGTTTTTTCTCAGTGCTTAGTCTTGCCTTCACCTATACACCCATTTATCATTGACACGCTTTCTGATTTTTGGCATGAATATGGTCTTGTGAAAAAGAGATTATAGAAAACCTTTAAAAGAGTCAACTCCCCTTTTCTTCAAGTCCACCAATAAAAAGAAATAACCCCACACCATTTTCAGCGTTTTTTCTGCTGCCTTTTTCTCCACATGTTGGCACTGACAGCGTGAGATTTGTGAGCTCAGGGTGCATCCAAGACTGCTACAAAACACTTGCTGTTTTATTCCATCTGTATGGGTACAGGCCAGCTCCTGGGGGCAGCTGGTGTTCACAAATTTGGAGACACTTCTGATATAGGAATTACATTAGACTTCCATCTATTGAAATGTATATGAATCAGTGTGCTAGTATAAATGCACTTCCTTAATTCCCAAGAGAATAGGATGGTCTGTCTACATGGAGAAAAACTGCCTCCCAGTGAAAGAAGAAGAACCTTCAGTGGCATTTTGCTGTGTGAAGCATTGGTTACAGGCAGCTGCATAGTAAACAGCAACTGAACTTATGCCCACAAGCACTTTGGCCAAAGATGATTCTAAATAAAGCACATTGTGCTGACTGTTGCTGGCCTAACTGTCACATGCAAGTTGAGTCTTACCTGCAGTAAGCTTAATTAACAAGAATGCAGTTCTGTGCACTCCTGTCACTCTGCAAACTTGAGCACCTAACCTGTAAAACCACCTGTTTATGTTATTTTGTGGTATTGGCCTGTTGTGCCCAGTTGCATTGCAGATTTTATGATGTGGATAAATCGCTACTGGAGAGACCAGCTAAAGTTGTTTGTGTACTCTAAGCATAATTGGATACCCAGTCTCCAGAGATAAAAAATTAATGTGCTAACCTCAGTTTGCCTTCAAGCTGTCCTCCAGCTCCCCCACGCAGTCATCTTTGAAACATTTTTATTTCCATCCAGGCAGGGGGCTGGCCATGAATAAATGACGAGAGTCAGCCCCTCGGTTGGAGATGAGCTGTTTGTTCCTCTCCACAAGCAGCATCAATTTGAAAAGCTACATCAGGCCTACTTTTTCCCTGCCTCACTGCTTGTTCTCACTGGGGCCATGATAGGAGACACATCTGAATGCAAGGGTGCATCAGTGCCCACCTTGTGACAAGATACCCTGCAGCAGCAGGTACCTTTTCAGTGAGAACATGTACATTGCCTTGATTTGACTTCTCATTAGTTTAATCTCTCTTTCTCTCTCTCTCTTTTTTTTTTTTTTTCCTAGGGCTAGTTTTAATGAAGAAAAAAAGAATACTAAAAGAAGCTGGAAATGAATAATGATTTCCACTCAAACTCTGTTTGCAGTTGTAAATTTCTTAGACTTTTAGTGCCTATGTTCTGAGATGTTAAGATAAGTGAGATGTTCTGAGATGTTAAGATCTTAAGATGTTAAGATAGAGTTTTGGAATACTGGAAAATCTCAGATTATCTACAGAGACCCATAGGGAGCCTTTGGTTGACTTGTTTAGAAGGTTGTTTTTTTTTCCTTGTGTGTGTGTGTGTGTGCGTGCTTATTTTTTTGTGTGTATGTGTTGTATTTTCATGTTCTTCTTGGACAGAACCTGCATCGTTTTAGATGTTCAACACTCAGAGAATCACCAGTCAGTAATTTGTAGGAAAATATTTCCAATTTGACTAATTGAACACCATGTGTTGCTCCATGTGCCTGTTCTTGTGACAGAACAATATTATTTATGTGTTTATATAAATATATATATATATATATACTTTTCTTGCCATCTCCATGCTTTTTTGTCCTCAGCATAGATTTCAAACCAAGCAAGTAAGACCCAAAAGATTTGATAAAATTTGAGCTTAGGTGCTCTGCCTTCTCATATTGCTCCAATTAGCAATTTCTAGAGCCAAAGCTTACAACATATTCCAGTTGTATGAATGCTGAGGGCTGCTGCTAGCCTGGGCTCCATATTGGT